CTGAGTGGCTAAAGGATAATCCAAGCCATAAAGGGAGCAAAATATCATCCCCTAAGTTGCATCTAGAGAAGGTTAAATTTTGTAGACAGGTGAGTCAATATGTGAAAGTCATAAAATATGTAAATACCAAATATGTTTAGAATAAAATGGACAAGCCATATCGGCCTGACTGTGGATTAAAAAAAAAATAAAAATATAAAAATTTGTTTTTAAAAATTTATTTTATTTATTTATTTTATTTTTTAATCTACAATTATATTACAATGACTTGTCTTTATTAAAAAATTAAAACAAATCTACAATAATTTATAGATTTTTATAAAGTGACTAACTTATTTTTATATATAAGTACTTTAAGTCAGATTTTGAGGACAATATTATACTTCTTTGATAAATGATAATAATCTTTATTTATTAGGATTATTGTCAATAGTTTATTACTATTAATTGCCCAAAAACTAATGAATTGCTAAGTTAAAAAGAGGAAAAGGGAAAATGATTGAAGAAAAGGGACAATTTAAGGTCTATAAAAAAAATTCAAAAAATAAAAACAACCTCTTCTCAAAAGAGATCTACTTGATTGAAATAGTCTTCTTGCTTCATTTGAACCTTAGAAAAAAAAATTTTTTTTTCACTACTTGTAATATCAGATGAGTCAATTTAATTGGTTTTTTATTTAAGTGAGTACCAAATTAAGATATCTCAAGGAAAGTATTTAGACTTTGGCTTTTTTTATTTAAAATTTATCACCATTTGAGGAACTTAGATAAGAGATAGGAGTTTGCAAATCATATTATCTATCACTTAATTTTTTGATGTCATAGAAGTTTTTATTAAGGAACTTGGACTTTTAAGGGCAGATGTTTTCAGAACCTTCTTTTCAATCCTTAATAATATTAACAAAACATATAAATGTGATTAATAGAAGCTTGTTTATATTTCAAAACTAATGTGTTTTATGTTAGCCAATTACCTTTGATAAAGATTTATGTTACTCAAAATTTAGAATCAAATTGATATAGATAAAACTTTCCAAAAACCATGAAAATAGAAGCTCTAAGAGGGTAAAAACAGTTAAAAAGAGAGAAAATAAATATTTTTACTACAGAAAACCTCTATAAGCCTCTTGCTTTAAAGATTAGATAGACCTTCAGATACTTTACAATCAGTTTTTCTTCTTTTGAGAACTTTTTTGTCATTGGTATCAAAGATGTTATTTGACTTTTCTTGATCACTAAGAGTTAAATTTTTGAGTAAAAAGATTTGTAAATAAAGAGTAAAGTATAAAGATAATTTTTGAAATTATACTTCAAATTGTTTTTAAGAAAAGTATTAAGATTTTATTAGTAAAAAAATATAAAAACTTCTTATAAATATCTTTTTTGTATGTGATCAGAGAATCAATGAAAAGAGTTTTTTTATAAAAGTAATTTAAGAATTAATTTATTATTATATTAATCAAAAATAAATAATTAAAAAAATTTTTTTATTCTGACTAATTAAAAATATTACAATTATTTAATTTAAGAAAAATAATAATAAAATTATTTTTTTAAAGCTATAATATAAAAAATTCTTTTTATTAATTTTTTAACTATACATAAAAAAAATATTTATTAGAAAAGTTTTTATTTTTGTGTTAATAAAGTTTTAATCCCTTTATTAAAATAACTTGAAATATAATTTCAAAAATTGGTTTTATCTTTTTTTTGTTGTTTATAAATTATTTTACTCAAAACTTAATTTTTGATAATTAAGAAAAATTAAGTAATATCTTTGATATCAATGGCAAAAAAGTTTTTAAAACTGACTATATAATACTTAAAGATCTTTTTAACCTTTAAAACAAAAAGCTATAAAGATTTTGTTATAATAAAAAAACTTATTTTTTTCTTTTTTGATTGTTCTAGTTTTTTTAGAACTTTTGCTTTTATAATTTTTTGAAAATTTTTATTTATTTCAATTTGATCTTTAATTTTGAATAACATAAATTCTTACTAAAGATAATTAGTTAATAGAAAATATATTAGTCTATAGAATACAAAAAAAATTCTTATTGATCATATTTACTATATATATTTCAATAATATCAATAATAATTGAAAAGAAAGTTTTATAAATTATTCTTTTTTAAAAGTTTTAAATTTTTAAAAAAAATATTCAAAATATCAAAAAATAAAAGATAAATAATATAAATAATAAAACCTTATTTTTTTTAAGTTCTTTAGATAATAAGAAGACTTTTTTAATTAAAAGCTAAAGTTTTATATTTCTTTTAAATTATTTCAATCTAAAATTTACTTAAATAATAAATCTAGTTAAATTGACTCATCTAATATTATAAATAATAACAAAGAAAATCTTTTTTAAGATTCAAATAAAAATAAAAAGAATATTTTAATTAAACAAAATTCTTTTTGAAAGGAGATTGTTTAATTAATAAATTTTTTTGAAAGAATTTAAATTGCATTTTTTTGTTCTTATTAATTTAATAATTTATAATTTTGAATAATCTACAATAACAAACTATTAATAATGAATCTAATAAATATAGTTTTATATTAATTTTCTAGGAAAGTGAAATATTGTTTTCTAAACCTGACTTAAAATACTTTAATACAATGCCAAATTAATTATTTTTTTATATTATTTTCAAAATTTTATTAAAAATTATTTTTTTTAAAAGATAAGTATAAGTTGATGCTTGACTTATATAACTTAAGTCATATATTTAATGTCAGTTTGCAAAAAGAAATAAAAAAATAAATAAAGTAATACTTTTTTCAATGCGTAGACAGTTTGTAATTTATTTAAAATTTTAATTTCATTTTGTAAATATTAAATTTTCTATAATTTATAAATAGCATTCATTGTAAATATATACGGCAACTTCGTAGATCGGTTACGATATTACTATGTAATTGTGGTCTCACACTAGCAAATAATATTATAGCGTATAAAACTCACACCAACGTTGTTTCTTTTACATTAGTTGACTTTCTTACTGATTTATAAATCAAACGAGAACATTTTTTGATTATATTTATTTATTAATTTCTTCACTTCGACCGTAATCACTATTGACCTCAATGTCTGTTTTCAAAAAAAAATCACACGTAAAACGTATTCCCAATCCTGATTGGCGAGAGGAGTTTTATCGCAATGGCCGTCCGGATGAAAGGGAAGTAATAGTCATTTCGGATACACCTACCCCCCCGGATGCTTATCCCCGGCAGCCCACACAAATTGAAACGAGAGGGATGAAACGAAGCAGGCGAACTCCAACGAATAAATACATACAGTCCTCCCAAGCGCTACCTCAACCAACATCAAGTGCATACAAAAGACGACGGAAAGAAGTACAAACCAATCAAACTCACTCCCAATATGGAGAGACATCTTACCGCTCTTATGTTTCGAATAGTTCTCATACTTCAGCACAGTATCGTGAGCCAATTTCGGCTAGAGAAGTAAGCAATTTCTCGAGATACTTAGTGATATGTATTCGGCTTTGAGAAAACCTTATTACACACGGAAATCATCCGAGAGACGTGCTTTTTCGGCCTCATGAAATTTTGAATTATGTAGATCATTCTAGAAAAACCACGATTGAATCGATTGAATATAATATTCAATCTATTGGTCATAAGATGTCATCACCAGAAAGAACTCTAAATGATGATAGGGATATACAAATTTTATTTACATGGTTCTTCTTTCTAGTCTCATTCGTCTGCAGCTTCATCACGTCAAGCAATAATACCTAACTACGACGAGAAAGATGGTCATTACATAGTAAATGTCGGTGAAATGTTGGATAACAGATGTAAGTAATTTAAGTGTCACCGATCATCATCGCGAGACTAATCTCAAATATTGTGCAGACAAAATACTCGGTCAATTGGGACAAGGAACTTTCGGAAAGGTCGTCAAATGCTTGGATCGCTCAACCAATAGAATGGTTGCCGTTAAAATTATTCGTGCGATCCAAAAGTACCGTGAAGCCAGTAGAATCGAGATCAGGGTATTAAACGCCCTGAAAGATCAAGATCCGGATAGCATTCAGTACGTAATAATCTTTACGTTGTTTTATGACACATCTGTTTCACAAACGGATTATTGAAACAATCGATCATTTTTTATTAATCAGTAAATGTATTCAGCTTCGTCATTGGTTCGACTATCGTAACCATATTTGTATGGTCTTTGATTTGTACGGGATGTCCCTATTTGACTTCCTCAAGCAAAATGATTTTAATCCTTTCCCCCTCAACCAAATTCAACATATCGCGAGACAACTGCTGCATTCCGTTGCTTGTATCCTTGTGTAAAAAAAAAATACAAACAAGAAATAAATCAGCGTAAATACATAAAATCGAGTCGCTTGAACGACCGATG